TCCTCATCTTGTGGCTGGGATCCAGAACTCTCACTCCAGGTTCCCCACTAGCCCGGCCTCCGTGGACAATCACCACAATAACTTGTATAGCTTTTAAAAGAGCGCCAGGCTTGTAGTATCTGCTTGATATATGTTAGTTATTATTATATTGTTTTTTTGAGGGTTTTCAAAAGTCTATTTCAACTCAATTTCACTCACTTATGGAAAACAAATTTACTGCACTATTGTTGAAGAATCATTGTGCCATGCATTCTTGTAAACTCTGATATATAAAGAAAGTTAATATGTGTTTCCTGACTCAGAGTGCTATGGGAGGGAGTGCGAACTCAGAGAGATGGCAAGGGGAGATGTACATGTAAGCAAATTATAAAAACACGGTGAATTCATTTTTTTCCTATAGAAAAAGCACTCTTTTTTCTTCTATATTCACATTACTCTCAGTGCTTCTGTGACCAGATATGTGGATTTTTTCCCCCACATTAACCAAATCTCTGACACCAGCTGAGGGTCCTACAATTCAATTCAATTCTGACACCAACCAGAGTGAGTGCAGACCCTACAGGTCAAGGGCTCAGCCCCGCAAGATTGTCCCCTACTTTGGATGTCAAATTGCATGTAGTAGGTCTCCAGGTTACCAACAACTTCTGTTTAACTTGGCTCCAAATTGGAGGTTCCCATAACCCCCTTCTTGGGTTTGGTCATTTGTTACAGTGGCTCACAGAACCCAGGAAATCAGTTAACAGAATATTGCCAATTTACTAGAAAGTATATTTTAAAGGATATGAATGAACAGCTAGATGAATAAGTACTGGGCATGGTTTGGAAGGGTACCAAGCACAGGAGCTTCTGTCCCAATGGAGGTCAGGTGCTCTATCCTCCTGGCACATGGATGTGTTCACCAACCCAGAAGCTTTCTGAACCCCTTACTTTTGGGATTTTTATGAAGGTTTTATCAGGTAGGCAGGATTGATTACTAACCCCATTTCCAGTCCTTCTTCCCTCCCTGGAGGATGGGGAGTGGGGCTTAAGGTTCCAAGCTTCTAAGCATGGCTCTGTTTTTCTGGGGTCAACCCCCATCCAGGAGTCCATCAGGTGCCACCTCATTAGAATAAAGGGCATTCTTATCACCCAGGAAATTCCAAGGGGTTTAGGAGCTCTGTGTTAGGGACCAGGGTCAAATAGCAAATACTGGAACAAAAGATTCTCCAAATACTCTTATTTACAAGGGTTTCAGGAGCTCTGTGTCAGAAACTGGAGGCAGAAACCAGTATACATATATGTTTCCTATTATTCACATTTTATAGTTTTCTTTTTTCTTTCTTTTCTTTTCTTTTTTTTTTAGAGAGAGTATTAGTATGTTGTCTGGGTTGGAGTGCAATGGCTATTCACAGGTGTGATCATAGCTCACTGCGGTGCTGCAGCCTGGAATTCCTGGCTTCAAATGATCCTCCCACCTCAGTCTCCTGAGTAGCTGGGACTATAAGCAGGAGCCACTGTTCCCGATTATCTTACACTTTTCTATATAATTTAAAGGACTAATGCATTACAAACATTATTAGTTTCTGTTTTAGACACACAATGCATAAAGAAGCAATTTTGGGGCATCAACACCTCAAAGGGGTGGGGACAGGGCTTTAAAAGATCAGAGCCTTTGTATCTTATTGAAATTCAACTGGTATAAATTCAACTTGGAGTGTTATAAGTTAAGGATGTAAAATGTAATCCCCCTAGGAGCCATAAAGAAAATAGCTTCTACCAAACATTTAAGGAAGAACTGAGATTGATCCTTTTCAAATTTTTTCAAAAAACTGAAGAGGAGGAAAAACTCTCTAACTCATTCTATGAGGCCAGCTTTGCCCTGATACCGAAGCTAGACAAAGACACTACAAGAAAAGAAAACTACAGACCAATATCCCTTATGAACATTGATGCAAAAATTCTCAACAAAATACTAGCAAACCAGAAGCATATTAAAAGAAATTTACACCGTGACCAAGTGGGATTTATTTCTGGAATGCAAGGATGGTTCAACATTCCTGCGCTGGATCAATGTAACACATCACATTAACAGAATGAAGGCTAAATGATCATGATCACCTCAATTGATGTAGAAAAAGCATTTGACACACTCAACACCTTTTCATGATTCAGTCAACAAAGTAGGAATAGAAGTACAAATCTTAACACAATAAAATAAAAGCCATATATGAAAAACACACAGTGAACATTATACTTAATGTATGAAAGAGTGAAAGGTTTTCCTCTATGATCAGGAACAAGACAAGAATGCCCAGTTTTGCTACTTCTATTCAACGTAGTACTGGAAATTCTAGCCAGAGCAATTGGGTGAGAGAAAGAAATAAAAGGCATCTGAGACCAGCAGAGGCAGCAGCTGGAGCAGCAGCAGCCTGTGCCCTATCCTACCTGCCCTCCGCAGCTCTCCACCCATCCTGGGGTCTCTTTCCTCCTTCCTCCTCCTCCTCCTTCTTTGCCTTTCCCCCTTCATGCTCCACTGCTGTGGTTGCCCTGCCCCTCACCTTCCTGCCTGCCCCTGTTATTCCCCCACCCAGGCCTCCTGCCCTTCCCGTTTCTGCCA